GGAGGGGAAGACGAACCATGAGAGACGATGGACTCTGAAAAACAAACTGAGGGTTTTAGAGGGGAGGGAGGTGGGAGGATGGGTTAGCCTGGTGATGGGTATTGAGGGGGGCACATTCTGCATGGAGCACTGGGTGTTATGCACAAACAATGAGTCATGGAACAGTACATCTAAAACTAATGATGTAATGTATGGGGATTAACATAAGAATAAAAAAAATATATAAACGGGAAAAAAAAAAAAAGGAAGTTGCAGCGTGACCTCCCAGCACTGTGGCCCGCCAGCCTCCCTGGGAAGCAGGTGGAGATGTCCAGGGTGTTGGCAGCAGAGGAATCAGGACTGGAAAGTGGAGCTGAGCTGTGTGGGGCAGCTGCAACAGAGGCTTAGCCCACCCCGGGGTGTGGCGGGGGGGCAAGCTGGGTGGCCCTGCAGAGGCTGGGGCCAGAACTTTCAACCTATCCTTAGCTACTGGCTGCCCTTGTAGGGTGGCTTTGTTTGGGCCAGGAGGTTCCTTTCATCTCACAGCAGTCCCCTGAGGGGCTCGGCGGAAAGTTCTTGGCTGTCTGTCCACCAGCAGCTGGGGAGTGAGGGCTTCAGTCCTTAAGGGTTCTGAGCAGCACCTCCCACACACATCCTGGCAGCAGTCTCTGGCCACAGGGCACATGTGTGCTCACTAGTTCTTGCGCACTCTCCTGCTCCCTCATCCAGGCCTTCTCCGGCTCCGGGAATAGACTGGATGGGAAGAAGAAAGGTGTAGAACCCAGCCCCTCTCCAATCAAGCCTGGAGACATTAAAAGGTGGGTCTGCTCTGGCTCTCCTTCCACCCTGATGCTTTGTCATTCTCCAGGGAGGCTCTGTGCCAGATTCCTGGGGTGGGTCTACCTCACTCGAGCTCCAGAGACAAAGCCTGGACCAAGGAGGCTGGCGGTGTGGATGGATGGCCCCTGCCTGCTCTCCTCAGTGGGCTGGAGCACCACCAAAGCCCATGTTTCCCGGTGGGGGTTGAGGGGGGAGGATATTGGTGCCCTGCCTCATCCGCCAAGCCTCTCCCACTGCAGTTCAGCCTCCCTCAGTGCCCGCAGTTCAGCCTCCGCCTGCCTCCGAGTGGTACCTGATCAGCTTCCTCTCCTGTTTCAGATCTTTCTGGTTCCTTTTTAGTCATCTTTCCATTTTCCTGTTTTGTGACTTCTAATAATTGATCAAGTCCCATTATGTCAACTTTCCTCAAACAAGAGGCTGGAGCTGCCTTACTTAATGTGTTTTTGTCATTTGGCTCACGGACTATCAGAGCAGGTTCCTGCTCTGGTGGCCGTCATTGAGGTGGTGGGGATGAGATATGTCTCCTGTCTACTGTGTGTGTTAGAGCAAAAGGAGAATGCTGGAAGTGTGGTGTTATTTTTGTTTTTTTAAGATTTTATTTATTTATTTGAGAGAGAGAGAACATGAGCAGGGGGAGAGGGAGAAGCAGGCTTCCCGCTGAACAGGGATCCTGACGTGGGGCTCGATCCCAGGACTCTGGGATCATGACCTGAGCTAAAGGCAGACGCCCAACCGACTGAGCCAGCCAGGTACCCCTGGAAGTGTGATTTTTACCCAGTCTTGAGAGAGTGTAAAGAGTTTAGTGAGAATGTAGCCCTTGCAGGGTCTGTGAGGCTAGAGGACAGAGATGGTGAGGGCCCCCCAAGCCTCCAGGTGGCCCCTCACTTCAGGCCAGGCACCAGGTCTACAGGCCTCTGCCCCAGTTGCCTTCTGATTACTTCAGGAAGGATGCTGGGGAACACCAGAGGGCTGGCCCAAGGTCAGAATGGGTACAGTGGTATACCCTAGAGTGAGTCGCCAGGATGACGCTTGTCTGCTCTGCTTGCTTTTCTCTTGATTGCCAGGAATGAACTTTAATGCTTTTCTCCTGCAACTAACATTTTTCTTCCTCTCTTTCCTTCCACAGAGGAATTCCCAATTATGAATTTAAACTTGGTAAGATCACTTTCATCAGAAATTCACGTCCACTGGTCAAAAAGGTTGAAGAGGTGAGTTTATTTCACTGGTAAGGAGAAGTGTTGTTTGTTAGTGATGACTTTCCATTCTGAATGAGGCCGTTTCTGTCCTATTTCCCCCCATGCCTAGGGCACTCCTCTCCCTGGTACCCTGATTATCCTGCTGAGGCTGTGTGGGGTGTGTGCAGGCCATAGCTCTGGTGTCACCTGGTAGTGGTGATCAGCACCATACCAGCTCACAGAGCCCTGACCCAAGTGCCAGGCCCCATGTTGGTGCTTTATACTTAACTATTTAATGCCCAGCCAGTCCCTTGCGGTGGCTGTTGTGATTGTCTGCATTTTACAGATTTGAGCGTGAAGATGTGTGGAGGCAAGGGCACCCAGGGTGCAGGGGTAAGCTCCTGACCAATACATGGCCACCTTTGTGCCACCACCCTCTAGAAGTGGCCTCCACTGAGACCTGAGGGGGAGGGGCCTCCCCCGGCCCAGGAGTTCCCCTGTAACAGGAAGGGAAGGCTGCAGGTGGGGGCAGGTGTTGGCAAAGGGTAGGTTCCCACCTTGTGGGCACTTCTTCCAAGTGTTGGAAACCAGCTCAGAAAACCCAGCACACCCTACTGCAGATCACCCACCCCACCTGGCAGCCATGGCCATTGTGCTGTATATTTCTAGAACACCAACACTTTAGACCCACCGCTCTCCTGGTTCCTTTTCTCAAAGGCTCAGTCTCTGGGGATCTAGAGTAGGCTAGAAGGCAGATGTTCTGTGAGCACATTCAGGATAGACTGCTAGCTAGGACCAGTTACTGGCAAGCTCCTCTTGACCACTGAACTCTTCCCCTCTACCTGTGCGGTGGTTGGGGAACTTCCAGGCTCAGAGGAACAAGTGTGGTTCCCAATGAGACCTCAGCCTCTGATTCCTCCTTGAGTGCCTTTCCAGGCCTTTGCCAGCTACAGGCTGGGGCTTGCCGCCTTGGGCCTAGAGGCCTCAGCAGGGGCTTCCTCCAGGCTGACTTGTGACCTGAGTACTGGAGAGGGAGGGCGAGGCTGGCAGGCATAGCTGGAGCTGTTTAATCCATAAGTATTCAAGAAGAAATGCATGGCTAACGATGGGACTGAGGGTACATGCTTAGCTCCACCCCATCCTGAACCCCCACAAAGCTGTGGCACAAGGTAACAAGGTAATAAAGACATTGACGAGAAGAGGAGGCAACTGCTACAAAACTTTGAAAGCCCTAGAACAGGAGGACAAGTGGTAACAGACTGCATGGGCCGTGGGAAGCTGCATCCTGAGCTGCCTGTGGTTTAGATAGAGCTCTGAAAGGCACCTCTGGAAATGGGGGGCTAAAGATGGAATGTGTGTCACAAAGAACTTAGAACCACAGCACCGCCCCCGCCCCCTCCCCGGCCCCGTTGGGGCTGTGCCTGCCTGACCCCAGAAAAAGCTGGTGGCTCGTCTTCTGGAAGAGGCATCATGGCAGGTCCCTAGACTGGGGCCATCAGCAGAGTGGATAGCAGGACTGAACTAAAAGAGAGAATGAGTGACAGTTTGCATCCTGAATGTTGTCGCCCTTGGTGTCCTTCCCTTTCTTGGCTCCCACACTGGCTGCCAGGGTTGCTCACTGCAGTTGGAGGAGCTTTCTCTGGACAGTCTGGCGAGCCCTGAGGAATGTCCTAGACAGCTCACCCCAGTGTGGAGACTGGAGTCAGAAAGTTTCTACTTTCTGAAGAGTTCTGAAAAGAGATTAGAGAAACCAAAGGGTCAGGAACCATCAGGGAAATAATTTCCCCAAATGGAAAGGCATGAGTTTGCAGCCAAGAGGGCCCCCTGAGCATCCAGCACCATGAATGAAAACAGCCCCCTATCAAGGCAAAGATCCTAAAGCTTCCAGAAGGAGGAAAGAGGTTATGCCCAGATTAAGAATGGCATCATCTTAGCGCCAGACACAGGAAGCTAGGAGATAATGGAGCAGCGTCTCTAAAATTCTGAGAGGAAACTTTCACAAAAAATTCTGTACCCAGCTCTTATGGGCTGAATTATGTTCCCCCAAATCCTTTGTTGAAGCTTTAACCCCCAGCACCTCAGGATGTGACTGTGTTTGGAGGTAAGGCCTTTACAGAGGTGATTAAGTTAAAATGAGGCCAGTAGGGTGGCCCCTAATCCAGTCTGACTCTTCCTATAAGAAGAGGAAAATTGGATGTACAGAGGAAAGACCATGCGAGCACATCACAAGAAGGCAGCCATCTGCAAGCCAAGGAGCGAGGCCTCAGAAGAAACCAACCCTGTCAGCACCCTGATCTTGGGCTTCCATTCCCCAGAACTATGAGAAACTAAATGTCTGTAGTTTCAGCCGCCCAGTCTGTGGTATTTTGTTATGGCAGCCCTAGCATGCTAACAATAGTCAACGTGTCAGGGAAATGTGAGAGTAGAAAAAGCGATTTTCAGACATGTAGGATCTCACAAAAGGATATTCCTCAAGCACCCTTTCTCAGGAAGTGTTTGGAGGATGTACCCTACTAAAATGAAGGCATAAAGTAGAAATAAGAAAGCCCTAGATCCAGGAAACAGGGAGCCCTGAAACTATTCGCAGCACCAAGAGGATGGCCAGTCTAAGCAGGGCAGCGTAAAGGGCCTACAAGATACACCTTCAAGTAGACAAAACCAGCAGGATGCCTGCTGTGATTGTAAGTGTGCAGAAGAGAGAAGCCAGATACAGGGACAGTAGGACAAAGCGAAGGCTCTGCAGGAAAGGAAGACTGAATGGCTCAGCTATGACCCAAATGTACATGGTCGCCACCACATAAGCCCTGTACAGGCCCCCGCCAGCAATACACTCCTGCGTGGGGTGGGGAGGGGCAGGTGCAGGTGCAGGGCTATGTATCAGGGAGTGTGAAATCCTCTTCCGTAGAGAGTGCCTCCAACTGACTAGCAATACAAGCTCGTTAAAGATACCTGCTGTTTTCAGTTGAGAAAAAACAGGCCCTCTTTCTGTTGGTGGGAAAATAGCTTGATAGAATGTTTCTGAGGGCTGGTTAGTGACCATAACATTAAAAGCCTTAAAAATATGTGCAATTCTAAAAAAAAAAAACACCAAAAATAAAAACAACTGTGCAATCCTTTTATGGTAGAATAACACTTCTAAGAAAAAGATCAGAGTTGTGTGCAAACACATTAAGCTGCTCACCACAGCAGCTTAAAATATCACAAACCTGGAAGTAACGTCCAATGGTGGAAGATTGCCTCTCCCAATGATGGAATTCTCTGTAGCCTTTAGAGTGTACTAGAAAAGAAATTCATCGACTTGAGACTCAGGAAGTATGAGAAAAATTTACATAAGCATATATAGTAAAGTGGCTGGAAATATTTTTGGGTGGTGGAGTTACAGATGATTTTTCTTTTGGAGGTGTATTTTATATTTTTTACATTTTGAAAACGTGATACTTCTGCAAAAGGATGTACATTCAATCTGAGAATAAAGGCTGTGGTAGAGGCATAGTTGTGATTATCTGGTTTTGTTTCTCAATTCAATAGATTATGATTTCTATTTCAAAGCCATTTCTTATTATGAATAATGGGGAAGTAAGGTAAATTGGTGGCTGGCACATGAGTCAACAGAATCAAGCATTTATTCTAAGCCTCCAAGGAGTTTCTGAAAATAGTATTTTATCTTCATACTCAGGATGAAGCTGGAGGCAGATTCGTCGCTTTCTCTGGAGAAGGACAGTCGTTGCGTAAAAAGGGAAGAAAGCCATAAGTTGGGACTTTTGGCTGATTGGAAAATAAAATAATCAATTGCAACATAATGGCTTTTAGTTACTGGCTCTGATGGGGATGAGACTGTTGCAGTGGATGCTCTGTCACTTTAGGTTTTGTTTAGAGTTACCTAAGAATTACCGCGTGTGACCTGTAAGTGGAACATTCAGACTTGGTGGATGATTTTGGGAAGGAGAAACCTTACTCTGAGATCCTGCAGGCAGCCTCCTCCTTGCCCCTTCTTGCTTTCAGCCCTTGAGGGGTGCTCCCAATGCCTTAGCCAAAGCAGAGTTCCCTAATTCCTGATAAAAATCAATGGAAGGGATTGAATTGCTCTAACTTGAGGTGTTGTTTCTCTTTTTTTCACTTATCCTTTGTTTTTCCAGGTCGATAGCTTAGAGCGTTACCTTTGGCCTAGAAAAAAGTGGCTTAAATAGAGACATGCTCTATAAATAGTGGTTATCCCATTACTCTGGCTGCAATTTAAGTGTATGAGGAAGGGTGTTTTTATTTTACATATTGATATTTTTTTTCCAAAAGAACCATTCTTCAGAAGGTGGATTCCTGATCTGAATACACTTCGTCTTGTAATTTGATTTCATATGGAAATAACGTGCTCCTTAATGAATCGGTTCTACATGAAACAACTTCATGATGAAGCACAAATATACCTATTAGAATAAATAAGTGCTAAAGATAATTTCTCCTTCCCTACCCCCCACTCCCAGTTAATGTATTAAATTATCCAAGGTTCTGCTGGCCTACCTTTTTTATTAGCATTAATTTGGTCTCAGATCACTTTCTATAATGTGAGATCTTTTGACATGTTAATCTAATTTAATCTCTTTTGTTCCTTGAAAAGAATTTTACATCAAGAATTTCAAATAAAAACAGGCAATGATTAAACCTGGATTGCCTCTAAATGTTTGATTAGGTATCAACATGGGTTGGTGGTTGGGCCCCCAGCCAGGAGTTGGAGGAAGACTTGCTTGCAGGTGTCCCTTGTTCCATCCTGCCATTAGAAAAGAGCTCTGGGGGGCTTCTGGAGAATGTATGGAGAAATGAGGCTCTCTGACCCCTGCATTGGGGATGGTCAGCCTGAGCAGGGTCTCCTCTTGTAGGAGGACTCCTGCTTGAAGGTAGAGGGGTCCATCTCTGGATAGAGCTCCTTCAACACACAAGAGAGGATGTTCCCTTCAGGATGGTGGCCCAGGGTCCACCCACATGTCATCAGATCAAGATCATAGGTGATTGTCATGAAGATGAGGGCTGGGCTATGGCCCAAACAGTCATCACTGATGATGGACAAGGTTTCAAGAGGCATGAAGCACTGCTGTGACCCGTGATCCTCCACTTAAGGCACATCTGTTTCACTAGCCGAGGCAGAAGCCCTCCTTGGTGGGTGGGCAGCCTCCATTTGCAGGATCACATTGGCTAATGTGTCATTTGATGCATAATGAATTTTACAGGAAGGCACTGACTGGCCTTGGGTTTTTGTCTTCCCTAAGCAACACCTACTGTGTAAGCAATGAAATCACTCATGGTCCTTTGCTTGAGCCACACTTCCCTGCCTGGGCCAGCTTCTGGTAACAAACCGGGAGGGGTAACCCAGAACAAAAATCCTGGTCATTACTGCTGCACCCTGGCCTGCAGCCTTCTCTGTCTTCAAGCTTGGTCTGTGAGCCAGCTTAGCAGGAGCCCTGGTAAAATTGCATCTTTCTGGCCCACCTTCAGGGAGTCTGACCCAGTCTCGTTACTGGGGTGGGCCCAGCAACCGCGTTGTAAGGGACTCCCCCGTGGAGGATTAAGTTTGCGTAAGTTGAAGAACCTCTGCATAGGTATTGCAGGGCTACTCTGCAGATTACCAGCCACTTTGCTTTTTATTGCCTCTTGTGCACCTCTCCTGTTTATAAACGTTCCGTGTCTTCCCACGCCTCAGAGTAAAGCCTTCACTCCTAATCAGACATGCAAGGCGCCCCACACTTGCAAGGTTCTCTCCTCTACCCCGTGACACACACAGCCTCCACGCCTTTGACCAGCCCGCCGCTGTGCTCAGAAAACCCTTCGCTCGCCTCCACTACCAGCCTGCGTTCCCTCGGGAAATCATCCGGCGCCCTAGACCGCCAACTACCTACTGGTCACGCCCAGCCACCCTCACCGAGTCCGCTGCAGCCGCAGACTTGGCAGCTTTGCCACAGGGCGTTGATGCTCAGTATGTGCTTATGAAAGCGAACCCTATCTTTTGAGATTTCATTAAACTGCTGAAAACCGGCCTGGACCCCGTGGTTTCAGAAATAGCTAACTTCAGGTGGCTGTGCAGCCCGGGACGCCCGCCGGGCACCAGGCGAAAGGCCGCTGTCATCCATTTGGCCTGGCAGGCTGCACGCCAGGCGTTCTACCTCCGGACACGCCCCCGCCCGCAAGGTCCCTAGGCCCTCCTGGGCGTCTCCTCCGCTTGTCACCGCCGCCCGGCTGTTATTGGCGGCTCAGCCTGGATGTCTTGTTTATCGGCGCGTGTCAGGGTGGGTGCCGAGTCAAGCGTCACATCTCGGAGTTCATTGGCTCCTATCCGTCAAACACGCGGTGCGTCTTGTCTTCAATCTTCATTGGCTAGCGAGCTCAGAGGTGGGGCTCCGCAGTCGCCCGGACATGGCGGACGGCGGCGCCTGGCGGGTAAGCGCGGGGGGCGCCCGGGACGTGCAGGAACCTCCTTGGGCCCGACGGCCGGATTACCCGAGCCTTCTCCCAAGGAGGGGACGGGATGGGGGTCCCTAGGTGGGCAGTGCAGCGGCCTCCGGCTCAGGCGTGCTTCTCGCTGCAGCCGCCGCGCCCCTGCGAGGCCTACCGCGCCGAGTGGAAACTCTGCCGCAGCGCCAGACACTTCCTGCACCACTACTACGTCCACGGCGAACGGCCGGCCTGCGAGCAGTGGCGGCGCGACCTGGCCAGCTGCCGGGAGTGGGAGGAGCGCCGCAGCGCGGAGGCCCAGGTGCACGGGGGAGCCGGGGGTGGCCCTTGGGCCGCGGGGGTGCATTGCCCCGGCGTTCGAGTGCGCGGGCCACACCCTCCCCCACATTCCAGGCCCCGGGACACTGGGAGAGGAGTACTGCCTGGGTCCCTCCTTTTGTTGTGCTTCCTTTCTCTTGAGAAATATCAAAAATTAGTATATCAACGGGGCTTTCAGACATTGAAGGACAAAGAAAGGAGAACGTAGAGTGGTTTGGAGAGAAAGGAGAGATCCCCTAACAGTGATAGTGTCCTCAGCAGGCCTGCGGAGGGGGTGATATTGCTGAGGCCTGAAAGACCAGGAACCAGCCTTAACAGCCTTCACCCGGCCCAAGGCGGGACGCATCTGAGGAACACAAAGAAGGGTCAAGTGCTTGGAGCAGAAGGAGGGTGGGCTGTAGAGGGGTAGGGGGTTAGGCTGGAGAGGTACCAGGGACCTGGTGGGCCTTAAAGAAGGGTTTAGATTCAGCCTAAACGTGTGCTGGGAAGCATGACTTGATTTATATCTTTAAAAGATCAGTCTGGGGGTCCTGGGTAGCTCAGTTGGTTAAGCGTCTGACTGTTTGATACCAGCTCAGGTCTTGATCTCAGGGTCATGAGTTCAAGCCCGCATTGGGCGCCAGGCTGGGCATGGTTAAAAAAGGGGGGGGGGGCCGTGCCGGGAGTGCCTGGGTGGCTCAGTTGGTTGGGCAACTGACTCTTGATTTGGGCTCAGGTCGTGATTTCTGGATTGTGGGATCAGGCTCCACGCTGGTGAGGGAGCCTGCTTGGGATTCATTTTCTCTCTCTCTCTCTCTCTTTCTCCCTCTCCACCCACTCCACTCCTCCCCACCTCTCTTAAAAATATATAGATATAGATATTTATCAGTTTGACTGCCAGGGTGGGAGAGTGTATTATGAAGGACCAAAGAGACCAGTGAGGAGGTGGTTCTGGTTTTCCATTCATTCAGCAAATATTTATCATGTTGGGAGCTCTTAAAGATACAGGAGTGATGAGAACAGAGCCCCTGCCCTTCTGGCACCTTCATTCTAGTCTAGAATAGGCAGTGGTGCCTTGGAACTGTTGTGGATGGGGACATGAAGAGAAGCTTGAGGGTGCAGTGCTCATGGGGAAGGGGGAAGGGGACCCAGCAGGACTGGCAACTGCTTCAGCATGGTTAAATGTATGTGATTATCGAAACAAACAGATGTGGAAAGCAAGCTGCTGTATAAAAGAAAATGATGACAGGTCCATTATAAGTGGAAATCAAAAAATTGGGAAAGATAGCTTGTAGCCTATATAGCAAGAGATTAATAACGTTTTTTAGAGAGACCTCATATCAGAAAAATGGGGATGATTTCAGAATATAAAAGTGGGCAAAGGGGTGCCTGGGTGGCTCAGTCGGTTAAGCGTCTGCCTTCAGGTCAGGTCATGATCCTAGGGTCCTGGGATGGAGCCCCGTGTCAGGCTCCCTGCTCAGCTGAGAGCGTACTTCTCCCTCTTCCCCTCCCTTTTCCCCTGCTCCTGCTTTCTCTCTCTGAAATAAATTTTTTAAAAATCTTAAAAAAAAAAAATAAAGAAAAGTGGGCAAAGGGCACAAAGAAAATTCATTCAAAAAGAAAATCAAATGATCTGGTATACAAGGTCAAATGACAAGTGCTTTCTGCCCTGTGAAATATCAGAAGTGCCGATAAGGGTTTGGAGAGTCAGGGGTACTTGTGCAGTGTTGATGGAGTGTTACGTGTTCTGATTATCTGTCAAAAGGATACCTTTTGACCCCCTAGTTCTACTTCTGAAAGTCCATCCTAGGAAAGTAACTGGGTAACAGTGCAGTTAAAAGTTCAAAATATCTGGGGCACCTGGGTGGCTCAGTCAGTTAAGCGTCTGCCTTCAGCTCAGGTCATGATCCCAGGGTCCTGGAATCGAGCCCGCATTGGGCTCCCTGCGCGGCAGGAAGCCTGCTTCTCCCTCTCCCACTCCCCCTGCTTGTGTTCCTGCTCTCGCTGTCTCTCTCTTTCAAATAAATAAATAAAATTTTTTTTTTT